GAGTACGCAAGGCTCTTATAAATTAGAATTAAATTAATTAACGAAATGACTGTTTTACGTTTTAACTTCATTACTGCAATCCACTGCAATTACTAAATTGGAATTTAAATAACAAATTGTACTTGTTACGTGTGACGAGTATACTCGTCAAACGCAGAGTACGCGTGGCTGTTATGACATAGAATTAAGTTAATTAACTAAATGGATGTCCTACGGTTTAATTTCATTACTGCAATCCACTGCAATCACTAAATTGGAATTTAAACAACAAATTGTACTTGTTACGCGTGACGAGTATACTCGTCAAACGAAGAGTACGCAAGGCTCTTATAAATTAGAATTAAATTAATTAACGAAATGACTGTTTTACGTTTTAACTTCATTACTGCAATCCACTGCAATTACTAAATTGGAATTTAAATAACAAATTGTACTTGTTACGCGTGACGAGTATACTCGTCATAATGCGAAATATCGCCGTTTCCTCGTGACGAGTATACTCGTCAGAAACAGCCAACTGGTTAATCTTGCCAGTGGTACTCGCATACTTTTGGCAATTGCAAAGTTGCCAAAATTCGTCATCTGAATAAAAGTTGGTTAGTCGGAAAGTTACAAACGATGCAACTTGACACGTACTTTTCTGTTTCTTCTCCTTTGTGGTGTAGTTCATGGACAAATAGTGGCCAGGAGTTTCACCCAGAGGCGGAAGTCTCTGAACGTGTAACGCCCTAAACGCCTGTCTTAATGTGTTCTTGCCCTTTTCACCCTGTGTTTGCTTGCTCCAATAATCGAGTTGTAACTCGACCGGTTCCCAGCCTTCCCTCGTTGGTTGACCGACGTTCGGGCTGCTTGGTGGCGTTAACCTACCAGGAAGTGGAACAGGTAATGCGGGGGGTGGCAGAGAAGGTGGAGAGCCAGACATGGTCACGTTGCTCTCTTCGAGGTCAACCGACGCGGAGGAACTGCTGTCCGGACAACCCACGCGGACGTCGTTTATGAATGGGATGAAGATTTGGCTGCTGTCGTCTGTTTCTCTGCGAAATTAAAGCGCAACGATGTTTGGTTCTTGTTATGATCTCTGCTTCAGCGTACGAACAGCTAAAGTCCCAATTTGTATTTTTATACTTTAATACCTTCTGTAATTTGTTTTCATAATAATTTTTATAACAAGATTTTATGGCGATTCATGTCAGTAGCAGTTGGTTTTAACAACTTTCTATTGTGAAACATAAAAGCAACTTTCGAGTTTGGATGGAATTTAGACGCTTTTATGAAGATACAGTAGAGTCAGAAATTTATTTTTTGAAAGGGGATCTTTTGATTCTTCGAAGAAGATTTCTTGCAAGAAACGGGGATTAACAAATTTCCCAGCGATGCTATACTTATCCGCACTTTTTTCTGCAAATTCAAGCCGAATGGGGGGGGGGGTGAAAAAAGACTAAATTGTTTTCTCAAAGGACAAACTCTATATCTGCAAAAGTTAGAGACTCGAAGTTCGGCATAGAAACTCTTCATTAAAAATAAACAAACACAATTTTGATCTTTTTTCAAAATTCACCCTTATGGGGGGTGAAAAAGGACTAAATTGTTTTCTCAAAGGACAAACTCTATATCTGCAAAAGTTAGAGACTCGAAGTTCGGCATAGAAACTCTTCATTAAAAATAAACAAACACGTGTTTGAGCTTTTTTCGAGATTCAACCCCTAAAAGCATCTCATAAATTGAAAATACTGTGCGGGCAAAACCACTCGGGTAGCCTAGTATCGTGTAAAGAAAATCCATAATGTATAGACGTAAAAATCAATTGAACCGCCTGGATATTGTACCTGTAGGTAACCATGGCTTCCGCAATCGGCAGTAGCAAGGTTGTACCAGCCGAAGCCAAATACTCGGAAACTCTGGCCGCACCCTCGCTCGCGCCACCGCCCTCCCTTTCCAACAATTCTTTCCACTCGTCACCGAATAACATCGAGTACTTGGCGTCTATGGAGCCGAGGTATTTGGACAACGTATTGGAGCCCAGAGGCACGACGAAGAACTTGAGATAACTCTGCGGTCGGAAACTTAGCTGATCCACGTAGTGGCGGAGCACTGCATTCACGAAACCATCACCACCGGCAATGACTACTTTGATCGGTGCCGGCGGCTTAGCCGAGCTGTTACAACTAGAAATGACAAGATGGTTTCGTTATTAATAAATATTATCATTGTTATTAATATTTTCAATATTCTATGATATTTATATTTATATTGTATGAGAATTATATCTTCCAGTAGATTCGCAGCGAAGTACTAGTGAGGATAAACCGTTAATTAATCAATTAGCTGTTTTTGACGAGTATACTCGTCACGAAGAAATGGCAATATTTTGCGTTGCGACGAGTACGCTCGTAGTTGTTGCGGACTCTTTGAAAACTTCGAAAAGTGTGCACATAAAATGTGCCGCAAAAAGTAAGCGACGACGAGTATACTCGTCAAATGCAGAGTGGCTGTTATAATATACAATCAAGTTACAACGAAATGACTGTTTTGCTTTTTCATGGTAACGCGGAATATTGCCATTTCTTCGTGACGAGTATACTCGTCAAACGCAGAGTGGCTGTTATTAATACAGAATCAAGTTACAACAAAATGACTGTTTTGCTTTCTCGTGGTAACGCGGAATATTGCCATTTCTTCGTGACGAGTATACTCGTCAAACGCAGAGTGGCTGTTATTAATACAGAATCAAGTTACAACAAAATGACTGTTTTGCTTTCTCGTGGTAACGCGGAATATTGCCATTTCTTCGTGACGAGTATACTCGTCAAACGCAGAGTGGCTGTTATTAATACAGAATCAAGTTACAACAAAATGACTGTTTTGCTTTCTCGTGGTAACGCGGAATATTGCCATTTCTTCGTGACGAGTATACTCGTCATGACAAGAGATATCGTAATTTCTTCGCGATGTGTATACTCGCGAAAAACAGCTAACTAGTTAACTAAAGGGAAGATCGTTATGTCGTTAAGTAAATTATTAGTTACAATTTCTGTATTCGCGTGACCAAGCACGTGAACGTGGCACGAATATCCGCCGGAGAGGCGGTC